ACACACACACACATATTTATATATATGCCTTTAGACGATGTAAACCAAAGAAAAGAAAGGGGATGGAAGTGGAACGGTGTGAGTGTAAATGTGAGAAGAAGAGAAGGAGGTAGAGAGAAACATAAAAACGAGTGCGTGTATTTTTTTATTTCTTTCTTTCTTTCTTGTCTTTTGTTTTTTGTTTTGTTTCTTTTTGTTTTTTTTTCTTTTTTGTTGTCATATGTCTGTCTGTGTGAGTGTTGCAGCAAGTTAGTTATTCTCAAACATCATGTTTGTTTGTTTGTTTGCTTTTTTTGTTTTCCTTCCACCTCCCACCCACCCACCCACCCACCACCCCCTGCGTGCAGTGCGTGGGATTCATCTACCGCCCTCTTCGCCGCGCCACTTGCTGCCGCCGCTGCTGCTGTTGCTGTTTGCCGCCTACACCGTTTGACCTTTGCCCTCCTTCTCTCTATCCCCGCCCCGCCCCTCCGCTCTCTCTCTCTCTCTCTCTTTTCTATATTTGCGTGAGAGCCATCTTTTTTTTTTTTTTTTGTTGGGGGGATTTCCCGCACTGAAGCAGCAATGGTGTATTGTGTCCTTTTCACGGCGACGCTGCGGGAGGCCGCGAAGGAGCCGGCCTTCCTCCAGGCCTTCAGGCAAATGCAGCAGCACTGCCAGGAACACGAGCCTGGCACCCTCACCTATGAGTTGTGCCGCGATGACGAAAACCCACTGCGCTTCTATGTGGTGGAGCGCTACATGTCGCGTGAGGACTTCGAGGAGGGGCACATGAGCAATGCCACCCTCACCGCATTTCTTGCGCACCTACAGGAGAAGGATCTGGCGGAGACGTCTCTGGTGAAGATGTCAAGCCATGGCCTTCCAGCGCAGCTTCACGCGATTCCCGCCAACACCAACGTGTTGCAGGTTCGCCCGCCCGTGTCGGATCCGCCATTACGGCAGCAAAAGGGTGTCCTCGTCTTCTGCGGCTCCTCCTCGGGGGTGCGGCCCAGCTACACGGCGGAGGCGGAGGCGCTTGGTAAGTATCTTGCCGTGAATGCCAAACTGCCGCTTGTGTACGGCGGTGGCACGAAGGGTCTAATGGGCGCCGTTGCGCGGGCGACGAAACAGCACGGTGGCAAGGTCATTGCGGTGCTTCCATACGCCCTGCGCCCTCGCGAGGCGGAAGGGACGCTCATCGGTGATGTTGTGTACATGACGGAAACCATGAGCGAGCGCAAGAGCATCATGTTCGCCCACTCCAGCGCCGTGGTGACGCTGCCGGGTGGGATGGGGACCTTTGACGAGTTGCTGGAAGTGTTGACACTCCTTCTGATCAATGCCCACCGGACGAAGATTGGCTTTGTGAACGTTGACGGGTACTTTGAGCCGCTCTTTGCGTGCGTGCGGAACATGATACAAGAGGGCTTTGTGGAGGCTAAGTGCATGGACGCGTTTGTGGTGCGTCCCACGGCGGTGGAGCTGATGCAGGCGCTGGAGTCGTTCCAGCCGCCGCCGACTGCCTCACTGGAGTGGTACGTACGCCCGTAAGAATGGAGTGTCAAAGGGACGAAAAACTGAGGGCAGAAACAGTAAGAACAAGTTAAATGGAAATAGGTGACAAGTAGCGGCATTGTAACGTTGTTTTCTTCTCTCCCCTCCCGGCTGTTCCCCGCAAAGGACGAGGCAACAACGGCAGCAGGGAGGCGACCTCTCAGACAAGCAGAGGGTGTGAATGGTGAATCAAATAAAGGTAACTGAATTTAAGCGTATTCTTTTTATTGCGTTTTTGCAGAAACGGGGGATGTTTGGTTGCAGATGAAGGAATTTTTGGCATCTGCGTGTGTTTGTTGTGTGTGTGTGTGTGTGTGTGCCGTTGTTGTCGCGTGCCCCTTTTCGTGTGGGTCACGCCTTGTGAGACGCGAGAATGGGGGAACTGTGAGGGGATACGGGAGGGTGTCAGACGCAAGTATTTTTTTATCCTTTCCCTCCAGCGTCACATACACAAATACACGTTCTCCCCCGTGCACTGTTTTTTTTTGTTTGTTTGTTTGTTTGACATCTTGTGAGTTGGTCAAAAGATGGATCCGTCTTATTGTGGTAGGGAATATATATATATATGTGAGGGATGCGTTTTAGCAGCAACTATTTCATCCGTGAAGCTCGTTGTTGATGTTGCGTGGGTGTGTGCATCTTCCTTGTTGGCGCTGGCGCGCATGATGTGCTTATTCTCGTTATGCCCTTATATATATATATATATGTTGTGCTCCTTCCTGTTTATTTTTTTACTTGGCGGGTGCGAAAGCTTCGAGGCAGCGTGTGGTGTGTACAAGCAGGGCGT